ACTTAATTATTTTTAAACATATTCTTATTAGTCATTAAACATTGAATAACATTTTATTAACTATTGTATAACTAAATAATTATATCATTTGAATATACTATCTATCATTCGCTAACCATTTTCCACTATCTTTTAATTACTATCCGCTAACCGATATCCACTATCTCTTGCCACTATTCACTATTTACTATCCACTACTCATTATTTATTATCTACTAAATTTTAACTATTATATTAAACAAACCCTTAATAGGAAGTGTTACGTAATTTAGTGCAGCATGAGCTGCACATTTTCCTTTTTTGTTATATTTTATCTGAACTTATTTGCCTTTTAAGATATCATCTGACCCTAATGGCCCATGCCTAATCTCTAGAAAACCCCAGATGACATGTGCTAATTCAAAGAAAACGTTTTCCATATTTTTTTTCTAGAGAAACACTTGCGGCGCTTGATAAATTTTAGCATTGGAGCCTTAATTGGCTTAAGTATACTTCTATCTTAATTACAAAATTAAAAGAAGAGATGAGATGGAGCAGCTGACCCCGACTGCACAAGCACTCCTCTTTTTTCTTTGCCTACTCCCACCATGTAACAAAGGACACGTAACAAAATAAAACACCACAACCACACATTCATTCATCTGGGCTATTCTTCTCTCATTGATTTCGGTGAAAACAAAAGGATCAGACAGCAGTGAAGTTTGTGGTGCCAACAACTACGTTGGCAGAAGAAAACAATCCGTATAGAAATGTAATCTTAATGAAGATATCATAATCTGCAACTTCTGGCTAATAGCAAATGAAAGTTACTACTCAAAATGGGTGGAAGAAAAATCAACTAAATTAAGAATGGTCCTTCTAAAACACTCATGTGTCTCTTAGCTTCCTTTTGATTAACGCAGGTCAAAAGTTGGCTACATACCTTGTCCTTCCCCATTCAGAAAACTCCAGAAAACTACATGTAATTCTAATTTTTGTACCCTGCGATTGTATGTTTGTATTGATTTACCTTTTTGTAAGTCTCAATCTTACTAAATTTGTTAGCAATCACCAAACTAATTAATGAGTAATACCTATACCATGGTCCATGATAGATTCCTAGTTCATACTAATTCACAATATCCAAAATTTGTGTCACAACCAAGACTCAATCCAATGGTCTAAGAGACATACCGTCGAACATATTAACTACATGAATAGTTTATTCCTAATTCAATTAGAAACGTAAAATAAAGATGAAATAGTTGTCTTTCAAGATCTTTACTTTTCTTTGTAGTTTCCATATACCATTTCTCTGTTATTCATGCATCTCCTTCCTCTGATTTTGAATCTAAAGAATGACTGACCCATAAAAATCTTTTGAAATTCAGTTTAATCAGATTCAAATAAATAACACAATGCAGGTAGGTATCGCCAATTTCCCATACCCATTATCAAGAAAGGTAAAAGAGGCAAACAAGAACAATGAGATACACAATTAAGAGATTAATTACCTGACAAAGCATTGAGTCCATTGAAACAAGTATTGAAGAAAGATGTGTCTCCGGATCCGACATAGTGACCGTGAACCGCCTCAACATCCTCCAGCTTGGGTTGCTTGTCATCGTGAATGAGAGGCACGTTCAGAGAGGAGCCATGGTCGGATCGTGCATTGGGCGGCGCCATTAATGATCGCAGAGAA